AAAATTATCCACTCAATCGACTACTAAAAAGGAGCTTTATGACATCTTTTCTCCTTATGGAGAAATTTTTGAAATATCTATTAAAAATAGCTTTGGTTTTATCCAATATGATAATACTGAGAGTATTAAAAAAGCAATCGAGAAAGAGAATGGAAGAATTTTACATGGATTGAGATTAGGCAAGTTTTTTTTATTTTATATATAAAATTAATCATTAATTAATTAATATATCATTTAATTTTATAATAGGATTGGAGGTTTCTCATGGTAAGTTACATCACCGTTCGCAAAATCAAGATACTGGGCATAAAAATAATTTTGGGCATCATCATGAAAAACGTTGGAATCAAAGAGGCGGAAATAAAAATAATTGGCATAATAATAACAAAAGAGAATATTCACCCGCCAGAGGACATCATACTCAAACCCATAATAATTGGCATTATAATAAGGAAGGCAATGAAAGAAGACATAGCCGTGATTCATATAGGGAGGATCACCGTGACCAAAAAAACTCCCATAGATCTAAACCATATAGAGTTCCTAATAGAGATTATTCAGAACAAAAACAAAGTCGAGATAATAGGTCACAATTACATGACAAGGCTAATGATGAATTTCCTTTACCTAGAAGGCAAGGCAATGCGGTACCAGAATGTCAAATAATTGTCCTTGAAGAAGTTGATCGGTTGGTATCTTAAAAATTTTAATTGATTTTTATTGTTTGTTAAAAATTTTAATTGATTTTTATTGTTTGTTAAAAATCAATCGATCGTTATTATATATATGAATTGTTTTTAGGAATTATTTGTGGCAAGCAGAGAATGCTTTCAGAGAAGCAAAGATCTCTGTTCACACACTTCATTTATCTAGAAAACTTCAAATTCAAGCAGTTGTTCGTCAAATGATTGTAGAAGGCGTGCATGCGGTTGTCTTTTTAGAAAGAGCCCTTATAATGAATGGTAGGGTTAATATGCAAATTTTTGAACATCAACGTTCTCAAGATAATGTAAAATATGATGGTTAGTTTTTCTCTTTTTAATACTTTGATTATAAATAATGTAGATGAACCTATTTATTAACTTAAATTAAAAATTATTAGAATATAACAATATTAGAATAGAAGATGCAGTTGGATTATTGTCTCGAGCTCATGTTTCATCGGTCCCTAACAATATGTTAACTGGTGGGCAACAAATTTTACCTCAAACACAAAAGGCTGCCCCAATTATAGAACAGCCAAATGCATTAAATATTAATCCAATTTCATTAAATAATGTTAATTTTGCCGCACTTGCTAATTTGCTTGGTAGTTTACAACAGCAACAACAGCAACAGCAACAGCAGCCAACAGTCCCCCAAAATACACAGCCCATTCAAGTAGTTTCACCTGGTACCAATTTACAACATCAGCCAGGTTTTATGTCTGCACAACCACAAAATTTTGATGTACAACAAATACTTGGAAATTTGGCGCCTGCAAATGCTCCAAATCAACAACGATATACGCAAGTGTTCCCTCATAATACTATGCCTTTTAATACTTCAATGATTAACCAGCATAATGTTAACAATCCAAATGTTATGCCTCCTCCTCAGCCTAATAATACTCTTCCTTTACCTCAACATCAACCCCAACATGTTGCACCAAATTTACAACAGTTTCATAATCAAATTCCTGGTAGCTCTAATATCACAGATCTTATGACACAATTCAATAATTATAACAACTAATGTTAAAAATAATTAATATATTATTATTACTTATTGATTTACTTGATTTTTAGCAAACTAGATGATTCTTTTTTTTTATAAATAAATATAATAAATACATATAAAAACATGTATAAATTTTCATGCTTTTCTTTCTAATAACTTTCCAACCAATTCCTTTTGAACATTCATTTGTTTTTGAGCATCAACAAGAGAATTTACCGAACGTAAACCATTAACTATATCTTTTGTTTTACTAAAATAAACTTCTTGAAGCAAATTACGCATTTTGAGTTCAATGTCTTCGACCATACGACCAATATTTACAATGTGTGCCGAGGGATCATCAAATGGATATTCTGCTTCAAACTGTATTTAAAATAGAGCCTATAAATAAAAATATTTAAACAAAATATACACATGCGCATAGAATTTTTTGGCCTTACTTGTCTTGTCATACTTCCAGATAAATTCATATTTCCAAGGTCAGGTTTATTTGTAATTGTATAAAGCATGACAGTGGATGTTAATTTATATTGAGCTTTACGGCTACGTTCATTCGCTTTAAAGACATGAATAGAGTCCCATACACCTTTCATTTTACGAACACCATCACCAACTATTTAACAAATTTATGACAAAAAGTTATAATATATACATATATACATGTATGTGAATATAAAATAATAAAAAAAGTTTCTCTTTTTGCCTTTCTTAAATAATACAGCGCCGGAAAACCCATCTGGAGGATCATCCCAAAAATAAGCTGAGGAAACACCACCTTCATAGTACCTAACGAAAATTAGATATTATAGATTAATTTTTTATTATCAAATGATGATGGAAATAAAATAATTGGATGATAAATATAAGCTTATTTTACATTTCTCGATATGTATTAAATGCCTCATTGGCAGCTATTTCTAATTTACGTATTTTTGAAGATGGTAATATGCCATCATTGATATACGGATCATATTCATTTGACCAAGGAGAGCTATTAAAAAGATTATATATAATAAACAAAAAAATATCAGTCTCTTTAATTCTTAAAGAGATTTTTTTTTAATATAGAAAGATATTTATTATACCGATATGAATCTCCATCTCTGTTGAAAGCACATAAAATATAATCCTTTCCTTCCTTTTTACATCTACCAACTTTTAAAGGTTGGTCAACAGCATTTATTAAATCTTCATGAAGGTGAGGTACAAGATCTACGAGTTGTACAAGGTTTTCTTCAGTTTTTTGTGGTGGAAGACGTCTCATAAGGTCCAGAGCACATTCTAAAGGATCGTTCTTTAACAGAGATAATTACATTCATATTTAAGATATATATTTTATTTAAAATAAATTTATATTTGTATGTTTGTTAGCTCACCATTTTTAAAGACTTGATATTATTAAAAGGAAATTGATAAATTTAAAAATTTACCCCCAGTTAATTCCGTAGCCGAATAAATACTATGGGTAAAAAAACTGGTCATGAGAATGGAAGAAAAAAGGTAATATGAATGTCGCTATTACATGATAAACAAAAATTTTAAAATTTTTGATCTAGATAAATTTGAAAAAGAAGTTATATGTTTGTTTCCTGCATGTATTTATTTATATAGGTTCAAACATCAGTAAAATGTTAAAGAATAGCAAATAATCCTAAAACTAGAATAAGATTTGCGAGATGTGTTTCAATAAATGATAATATGGACATTGATGTCGCAACATAATGATTTTGCTGCTGATTCCACAACAATTATTTCTAGTAAAGCAGCTTTATCTTCACCCTATAACATCAACCACAACTGTTTGTGCCATTTTAAAATTAAGAATACAACTTCTGGTGACACTGAACAGAATAGAAGCCAAATTTATTATTGCCAAGAGTAAAAAAGTGCCTATACCAATATTATTCTTTTCTAGAGATAGCTTATTGGTTCTTCAAGAGCTATCATAACTGAAGGTTGAACATGGCATTGACAAAAAATATTAAAGATAAAAAGAATAAAAAATTACTGGAACTAATTTAGATGTACAACCACCAAAGACTAATGAAGCTAATGAATTTATGCACAAAAAATGATGTTGGATGATGAGAATAACAGCAATAATGATAATGTCAAAATAAAACTGTTAATATTAATGAGCCATCAAAAACTTTCATACCGATAAAAAAGAATTGAAATCAAGTTATCCAATAAAGGAAAAGACAAGTTAATAATATTGAAGAACCTGCAGCAGCTGAACATCAACACAATCTTGCCAAGATTTCAACATCTGGTAAAAACATAGTGACAAACCAAATACGCTAAAATAAACATATTTTTTATTATTTTTATTTGTTAATGATGGTAAATCAACAGTTAAACTCAACAAGCAACCACCAGTATACAAAAACTTGGTAGACCACCGAAAAAAAAAAAAGAAATATTACAATCATTCTTTAAATATTTAAAAGAGAAAAAAAATAAAAGTTATTTGACTAAATTGTTAGAATCCATAATAATCAAAATAAGATACATATTGATTTTTCTTGGAGCCTGTTGATACAAGTGGTGTAGTGACTGATTAATTAAGATTACCAGCTACAACTTTTGATGATGGATGCAACCGCCTTTGCGACCAATTTGTTTTATTTTTGGATTACGACATGGAACACTAGACATAATTGAAAAACCTATGGATTTTGGAACAATGAAGCAAAAAATGAAGATAAAGCAATCGATGGATTTAAGATATTTTGTTATATCCCTGTTTTATATTTAAATTAAAAATTTATGAATTTAAATTTCTAATTTATTATCATTGTTGATATTGTTATTATTATTATGATAATAAATAGGCAGATTTTGATCTTGTGATTAATAACTGTAAGATTTATAACGCTTCTAATACTATTTATTATAAAAGTGCTGAATTTTTGTGAGAAGGCGAATATGATAATATATTAATAGAGAAAGACATTAAGAAAACAGTAGAATTACAATCGAATAATCTTGAAAGTTTAGTATACAAGAAAACAAGGTTTATAATAGTTTAAATATTTCCTTTATTAGAAATACATTTTGATAATATTTGGCTTCAAGCAGTAGTAGTTATAAAAAAAATATTTATATGTATACAGCCCGGTTTGAGGATTACGGTCCTTATGTTATATTATGAGCGAATACGTCCATTTTACGCCTCATGAAAGAGATTATATATATGACATATATGGAGATGAGAGGGATCAGATTTTGGACTTGAGACAAGACCAACATTTAAAGTTGATAAAGAAAAAGCAAAGTTGGTATCTGGGGAGCGAAAATATAATAACAGTCAAAAGCGACAATAAAAAAGTTGAAGATGTTAAATCAATGATTGTAAACACAGAACTTGGTGTTGTTGATATTGGTAAAGAAGTTGAAGGGCACTCGGGTTTCCTCAGATTATGAAACAAAAGGCTGATTTGGTATTTTGGCAAAGAGAACAAATTGATATCAATTTATTGATTAATATTGGTTATAGTGGCAAGATTAATAATAGTAGTGACGGTAATAATAATATTGAGTGTGGTGGTGGTGATGATGATTATTATTATGATGATGATGATGATAAAGAGATAATGTTTATAGCAAATTCACATATGGCGATTTGAGAAGATCAATTTATTGGAAATTTATTGGAATCTAATAATAAAAATTTCGAGGGATAAATTTCACTTCAACAAAATAAAAAAGCAATTAATATCTTCAAAATCTACACCTACACCTACATCCACGACCATTACTAATAGTTCTGGAATAAATGAATCGATGACTACTCAACAAAAAGAGCATCAGCTTTGTAATTATTATTAATTATTACATTTATATATTTTCTCCAAGAATTAAATAGCCCATCTAGCTAATCAGGCATCAAATAATTCAATTCAGTTGGCAAAACATGTACCAAGAAATAGAAATAAGGTAAACTATAAAAGTTCGATGCCATTATTGGGGACAACAATATCATTACTAATGTCAAAATTGATTATAACATCAACATCAGCAACAACAGCAACAATAGTATTGCACAAAACTCAGGTACAGAACAACAACCATAAGTACATTATCATCTAGTAGTCCACTTATTTCTGGATTTGGTGGTAAGGAACATGTGATTGCAAGTATATAAGGCTCACAATAATTATGAGCTGTATATATATATATATATTGAAAGTAGCAGGCAGACATGCGAATGAGTTGTCAAAACTACTTATATGCTAGGATGATGGATAAATAATAAGATTGATCTATATATTTAATTGAATGAATAAAAAAGATTTGAACTCGTATAGCATGTGATTTGTATTATGCAAAGAATCTATCTCTAATTTATGGAATACTGGTTGTTAAGAACTTGCTATTAATGTATGTATAGATTATATAAATTCATTGCATTTATATTGAATAATTTAACCTACATATATATATATATATATACATTTCTTTTTTTATTATTTTGTTTAAATATATATATATATATATATATATTAATATATTAAAATAATTGGATTGAATGATACGAAACGAAAAAAGGAAGTGAGATAATAAAATATCAATTAAAAGATGGTATTGTTATAATAAAAAAATAATTAAATTGATAAAGTAACAAAAAATTTAAAGGAAATTTCCTACAAAAGATTTACGATGAATTATTGAAGGGAATCGAAGTTATTGGAAAAAAACTATTATTAGTAGTAGTGTTATAATAGTAAAAAATAACTACTGTTGTTAATTGGAGTAAAAACAGTATTTTTGATTGTTAGGTTTTGTTAAAATTCTTTGGTTTTTGAAAAATCAAAGATAAATCGAAAAAAAAAAAAAATTTTTAATAAAAAAATGTGAAAGAAAATCAGTGAAAAGCCAAAATCGGGTATTTTTTTTTTTGAGATATGAGTATATAAACCTATACACCGGCCAAAGTCGACTTGACGGATTGAATAGTGATTGCCACTTTTATTATGATTTTTTTGCTTGAGGATTAACACTATTATGATTGTGTATTATCGTTGTAATGATTTGAATCGTTGTTTGTTGTTCGTTGTCGTTATGTTTTAGTGAATATATTTGATTTCCTCTTTCAATATTTTTAAAAGCGACTACTACTAATAAAAATGAAAACACACTATATATAGACATATATATAAAGAAAAGAAAAAGTAACCAAATGATATAAAATTAAAAAGATTAAACGTGATTTAATGAATAAAAATAGAAACTTGATCTATTTAGTTGAATGTGAATGAAATAATAAACGTTGATAATCCTTGACAAAAAAATCAAAAAATAGAATCACGAGTCCGCCTCACATATTTTATTTAAGGTGAATATCAGTGGAGTATTTTTTATATAATGAAAATTTATCATTTTATAAATGATTATTGTTAAATTATTCTAATTTAATGGTTTATATATATATATCGCTCTTCTCTCTCTCTTCTTTCTAAGGAAATAGTTTTTTATAACCAATTTAATTAACCAATCAATAACAATTATCTAAAATATAAAAATAAAAAAATGATAAAGCAAAATACTAATTAAAAAATAATAATAAAATAAATCCAGTGTGGCACCAAATAAATATTTCGTGATCAACAGGCCTTTAACGGTGATATAGGTTAATATACTCAATATCTGATTTATATAATAAAAAAAAAAAAAAAGTAAAAGACTTGTTGATGTTAACTAAAGATGTTATTGTTGTTTTATATTGTGTATATAGCAAAATGCGTTTTGATATCTTTAAATAATCAATCAATCAATCAATTAATTAATTTTAGTGATGTTTTTTCTTCTGAAACATTATTGAAACTGAAGAAGAAAAGGTTACCTGTGACGAAAATTTGTAGCGAATTCCTGACGAATTCGCCAATGCTCGAGATCGATTCTACCGTAATAAATCTTTTGGAAGGAGAAAAAAGGAAAGTGAAGAATGAATAAACTAGAGAGAAGAGAGAAGAGAAGTGAAAAATAATGAACATAATAATTTGTAATACGACATTATTATGTTGGCTTTTTTTTTTTGGGAAAAAAAGTTTTTATATAACTAATCTGACGTTGTACAAATGTAGATAGGAGGGGATTAGATTATCTTTTAAAAATAGTGAACCTGCTATTTACTATGAATTCTGTACGATATAATGGAGAATTTACCATTATTGTATATAAAAATTCTGCTTGATATAGTGATTTTTAATATAGACAGACTCTCAATATAATCATATAGAGCCTTGAATATTTGTCAATCATTACTTAATTATTGATGATAAAAAAATTGAATTTGGTAATTTGTCGCAAAAAATTTTTCATTTAGGTAATTTGTCGCAAAAATTTTTTAAAAAGTATTATTCATGAGATTGAAAAAAATTTAGTATAGTGTATCATGAAAAAAAAAATTAATTGAATTTAGTAATTTGTCGCAAAATTTTTTTAAAAAGTATTATTCATGATTGAAAATCATGTGTAAGGATTCCTAACTGTAATTCTAACTCCGTATTCGAATATTAATATTCGTAAATCCAAATTACGAATTTCGAATATTATTTTGGATACTCACTCGTAATTACTTTGAATGCTCATTATTTCAGATATTTGTATAAATTCTAGCAAATTTTTTCTTGTTTTTTAATCGATAAAGTTTCTTTTGGGCATCATCAATTTGATTGTACATTTCAAGCTATATCAAAAAATTATACAAATCAAAAAAATTACCATATTTTTTGTCAGGTGTAAGAATATTATGACATTTAAGGTAGTTCCTGAAGTATTAGGAAAGTTTTTTCTGCAAATTCCATTTGGTTTTGAAAGAATTACTTTTTAAATGTTTTCTGAACAAATATTTTAATTGTTGTAAAAATAAGTTATCTATTTGAAAAATGTTTGTTATATAGTAGGATAAGTTACAAATAAGTTAGTATTATTTGTTATTTATCAATCGATAATCATTCATGAATTGTTACAATATTATCAAATATTTGTAACAAATGTTTGGAATGATTAATTACGAGTATCCAAAAATAATTACGTGTCTAAAGTCATCAAAAATTTATGGGTGACTTTAAAATGTATCTAGTCCCTCAATTTTTGTGTCACAAAAAAAAAGAACCATAAAAATGACTTCCTCTTTCAAAATTACAATGCATTTTTTTGATTCCTCGACTATGCACAGTTATTAAGGTTTAAAAATACACAAGTTTACTACAGTCGGCGCTCGATATAAGAAAGAGTTGGTTTGACAAAAAACTTCATTGTATAGCGTGATTCATTTATATGAAAAGATTGGCTCGCGACACATTACTAAAATTCAATTACTTTATTTTTCAACACTACACATCTAAACTCGATAAGTCGGACATTTATTTATATTATAAAGTACTTTAAACAATTGATTGCTGTGTCCGACTTATCGAGTTTAGATGTGTACCAAATTTAATTCTTCAATAATATTTTTTAAAATTTTTTTTACGATATTCATTAATATTCATGAGAAATTTTTTTTGCGACAAATTACAATTAAGTAATGATCAACAAAATTTTCACTATATCGAGCTTTAGTCAATATAATGAGCATGGTGGACATTCAATTTGTGTTACAAAGTAACATGCGCGCATTTCCAAATAAGTACATCAATTTATTTGTTTATTGTGATACAGAAATTGAAAGTTTTATTGGTTGATCAAATAATAAAATAATAATATAAATAAATAGTAATAGTGAAATTAATTTTCAGAAGTATCCATTAAAGGTTCTGGAACAGGTTCTAATTTATTTTTTAAAAAATTATCATTAGAAAACTATAAAATAATAAAAAATTTTTATTATAAATTTTATTTACCTTGTTGTAATTTAATTAAAGCAGCTCTAATATTTATATTGAGATTGTTTGATGGTAAGTTAGAATTGAATTCATCAAAATTATCATCATCATCATCATCATTTGGTGATGATAAATCTAATTCATCAGGATTTTCTAATTCAATTTGATCAGTTTTTGTAACTTGACTTTCCAATCTATCATTGTAAGAGGATGATAATACATTAATTCCATCTACAAGATAATCTAAACAATAATGACATTTAAAACTCATCTTTTGAAAACACTCATTATGATATCCGTGACCACATATTAGAACTTTTCCATAAAGTTGTAATTGATCAATTTCTATATTAATATCACAATCTTTTGCATCACAAAATATGTTGAAGTTTGGAGGACTTTTTGTGTGATATCCTGTAGGTAAAGTCCCTATTTTCATAATTTCATTTAATACAAAAAACTTATGACCAGTTGATTTAATTGGTCTTGTTATAGATTGTGGTGCATGCTGTGGAGATGTTGAATTAGACCAAATGTTTTGAAAAAATTCAATAAGGAAAAGAGCTGTCTGTTTTACCATAATATCAATATTTTTTTTAGTATATGGATATTTCTTAGTATTAACAAAAGGTTTCATAAAATCATTATTATGTCTTTGATTATCAATAGATATTGCATCACGCCTCAATCCTTCTGGGTTATAATTTTTACCCACAGTATGTCGACGAATTAGGCTATGAAAATTTTCTACAAAATATTCATTAAATTCTTGTAAATTTTCAGATAAAATATTGTACATAGGATGTTCAATGCTTTGCCAATAAAGAACATCAGAGATAAAAGCTATCATTATCTTATCATAATTTTTTCTTCCAAATCGTTTCATAATAGTCCAAAGTCGAAAGATTGTTTCCAAATATTCTTCAAAATGACCTTCACAAAATAAAATTGCATAAATATCCAATGTTGCTGGTACAATATTATCTAATAAATCTAAAAATGTGTGATATTCAAGATTTTTTTGGATGCCAAATTTATTAATAACTGTATCTCTAATAATCATCCATCCTGAACGTGAGATATACAATAAATAATTTACCATCCATGGAGGAGGTGTAAGTGATAAATTTTTTGTTTTCTTAAATATTTTCTTATATAATAAATTGAAAAATGGGTGATATAATTTTATTGTTGATTCTCTAGTATTTAATGATACATGTAAAGGTCCTAAAAAAGGTACTAGATGAAGTATTTGATTAGGGATATCTATAT